CTTCTGACTTTATTGCATGTGGTTGATTTTCTGGTGTTCAGATATTTTCTGCACGTATGAGGCGATGTTTAATAGTCGTCCAGTAGATTCTTGCCGTGAAAGTTGTTTTAGTCCTAATTGTAGTTATTATTTTGAAGGATGTCTTAGCCCTTTTCTAAATTTAGAAACTTGTTGCATCAAAGTGCTTTTTATTATGTGATTATGTAAATAAAATCGAGTGTGTATATTTTTTTGCTGTTGAAAGTATAATTTTTTTCTTTGTGTACGTAGAACGCTATACACTCATATAATATGAATTCATATAATATGAATTCTATTCATAACTGAAAAATATATATTAAATATAAATAAATATGTGTATACATAAACAGAAAACAAAGAATTCCATCCTCATCACATCCATATTTCTAGAATAAGCTATTATTATTGGCATTAAATCCTCCTTGTTGTACTCCAAACGAGTTCCCAAATCCACCGAGACCTTGCGTCTGCTGCTGTTGCTGCTGCGCATACGGATTAAAAGATTGTTGTTGTTGTTGTTGCTGATTCAATTGTTCAAATTGTAAATCATTGAGTGACCTTGGCTTGACATTTGTCGTGATTTGTTGTGGTTGTTGTATTTGAAATGGATTCTTACTGGCAGTATTAGTGTTAAAGCTATCATTATTGTTTGTGCCCAAATCGATTAGCGTGTTAGTTGTTGCGAATGATGAGGCTGTGGAGAAAGGTGAACCAGGCTATTATAATTTATCATATAAACAAATTAGCGAGTTTAGAAACAACTGAGATCCGTCCTCTCCCAGATTCAAAAAATAATCACAATAATTTTACCTGACTTAACGTAGAAAAGCTACTGCTGCCATTGAGTGTACTATATAAATCTGAATTATTGTTATTTAGACTACTAAGATTAGGTTGTGAACTGCTAAATGTTCCAGATGAATATGGTGATAGGGTACCAAGACTGTTATTGTTGCCTTCGTTTTTGAAGAAAGGATTTGAACCAGAAGTTCCGATACTACTGGTAGAATTTGCTCGAGCTGGATTTAGAGTATTCGAAAATCCCGAGCCACTATAGATGAAGATTATATAAATATTCATATATCTATTTATCTATATATATATATGATATAATATAGAAAAGACGTTGACTCACATTGGCACACGCAGGTCACCTTGATTGCCAAATGTATCTAGACCATCTCTAAATGTTGATAATAGGTACCAAAAAGTTTATTAATTTCTAATAAAATTTCAAAAAAAAGATGAATTATAGTGTTCTCACCCTCGCGATGCAAGTAAATTATTCAACCTGGAATATTTGTCGTCTTGCGGCGTCGCTTTCAAGGTCTATATTTTAGGTGAAAAGTTTATTTACAATTAAATTTAAATCAAATACCGCGACATAATAAGTAATAAAGCCAAACAACAATACCAGACTTCTTAGCAGCGAATTATTTTGTGACTGTTGTAATAATTGATCATTCTTTAATTGGTTTAGTCCGTTGTTCGACTAATAATAGTAAATCGATATATAATAAAAGTCTGCATATTTTTTAGAAATAAATGCGATTATAAATAAAATACCTGTTGACCAATTCCATTAAAAGATGAAGGTTGCTTGTTAAAAGACGATGTACCAAGATTATTCTGTTGAAAATTAAGTCCCAAAGGATCATTATTGCCACCATACGTGGCTAAATTAGCATTTTGACCAAATGAGGACGACGAATTATTGTCCGTAGTTTGAAATGCTTGAAGCTGTTGTGGCTGTGCAGTGAATTGTCCAAATGGATTGTTTGATCCAATTGTACCAGTAGTATTAATGGTACTGCTTACAGCCTGTTGTGCCGGCTGTTGTAATGTTAATTGTTGTTGTTGTAAATTCTGTTGCTGTTGTAACTGTAGCTGTAATAATTGTTGTTGGTATGGATTAGTGGAGAACTGTGCTGCATTAAGTAGATTTAGATTCTGTTGTTGTTGCTGTTGCTGCTGTTGCTGCTGCTGTTGTTGTTGTTGTTGTTGTTGATTTGATAAATTGAAAATATCAAATTGTTGTGGGTTCTGGTTTGTATTTCCAAGTTGAGAGAACTGACCACCAGAATATTGTTGACTCAATGGACTAAAAAAATCATCAGCTTGCAGTTGTTGTGATGAAAGTGTAACTGGTGTGAAACTATTCAAAAATTAATTAATTGATTAATTTATTTCTTAACCAAAAGAATTGCTACACAACATTAGAATAAATATCTATTATACCTTGTATCACCTTGTATTAAAGGCACCTCTTTTCGTGCAACCTCTTCCGCTTGTTTTCGTTTTTCTTCCTCCTCCTTACTTAGTTGAATTGCCTTTGCAAGGTCTGAATCTTCTTCAGAACTACAATAAAAGATTAAATTTCTTATCATCGAATTTATATTTATTTTTCGCAAAAATTAAAAAGATAAACTTACCTTTCTTTTAACTTTCTTTCACGTTCCAATTTCTTACTCTCTTCAATCGCCCGCTGAAGTTCACCATCATCATCAAAATATCCAGGTTGTTGTTCTAAGGCCAGCGAATTCCCTAGACTACCACTTAACTCTCGGCCCGATATACGATTATGCATAGTTGAGCGTGATCGCCGTTCGGCCTTGAGTCGTTCGTCATCTTGCAAAAGATTCGTAACATCTTTAGCCTTTTGGCGGACTAAATAATCATGCGACACGTAATAATAGCCTCTGTTAATAGTCTTCAATTATATCGGCGACAACAAAAGATAATTTTCGTGTTAACACCCTACCATTTGCACCCTGATCTTTTCCATCTTCGTCTATGAATTGAAACTCTCGAAGAGTTTTTACTATATACAAATTATCTTTTGCGTATAGGACTACATTCTCTGATCCTACGTGCAGGCAATAATCCAATAATGTGAGAGCCTAGAAAAAAATTATAAAATTAGTTCATTTGTTGAAAAAAAAAATAAGTTTGAATCGATTGCTTACTTTAAAGACATGTCGCCAATTTTTACCGTGGTCATTTAGTCGTTTATCGATCATCTCCATAATCTCTATAAATTCATGGCTTCATGTAAAAAACCAAAAATTATTTGTTACTTCATCTAATTAATTCAATTTAATTCCCTAATTCCCGAAAACTCCAATTAAAAATCAAATAAATAAGTTTTTTTTCATTATTTAATTAAAACGTCAGCTTTACTTACTGGTTATAAGTCGCCTGAGCAATTTCACTCATTGCCGTCCCACTTGGTCCCCATGGCTCATTTGATGTTGCTGCTCTGACTTTGACCTGTATATCTGAATAACCTTTTGAAAAATTCTTTCTATAAATATATAGAAAATGTTATAGTCATCCGTTCCGGTAATAGAATAACATAGCAGGTTGCAATCATCAACCAAGTTAAAAGGGAACTTACACTGTGCGCACAGCACTTTTTGCTATGTGTTTCGACATTTTATTATATAAAATTTGCAAGTTTCAATCAACCCGTGTTTCGAATATCACTTTTTGGAGTTCAAAAACTTTTATTGCTTTTTATTAAAGGTCAAACCAGACAGTGTTTTATTTTTTATGCAATATGCAATATGATACTGCTGTATATATATATATAAAAATAAAAATTTAAGAAAAATGTATTTTGACAAACGAGTGTATATGATAAAAGGGTAGTTCTCGGCGGCAATATGAACAGCTTTTTTTAGTAATAATAATTCAACGTCGAAAAATTACTTATGATGTACCATGTCAATGAGAGTAACTAAATATCTTGGCTGAAAAAATACACTTGTGTGACTTTTCTCTGATTTTCTATTAACATGATATGATGAGCATTATTTTTATTTTTTATTATGATATAATGATATTGATAGAAATACAATTATGGCATAGTCCATGTTGATCGCATTAACATAGTCAGTAATTGGTGTTAGTCTCGAATTGTACCCCGTTAGGATATTTCAGAGCGCCCGAGTTCACTAACGCCTGGTACAAATCTTCAATTAGATCATTGACGTCCTAAATTCATTGGAAAAAAAGCAATCACGAAAAAATTACTCATTTGTATATTGATATTTTCTATGTATCCGTTTTAAAATGGAAAAACAATAAATGATGCGTGCGGAAAATCTTCGATCATATCATAAAAAAACCCTCACCTCAATTCCGACACAGAGACGTATCAAATCTTCCGGAAAGTTTCTTTCCGCACGGACTGCTGCAGGAATGCTAGCATGAGACATTCTACATGGCATGCTATTTCCAAACACGGTAAGTAGAACATATATAAAAATGAGGAAAAAAATAAAAAATTCAGATTTCTAGAGTGAGCAAATCTCTTGCGCGTTTTTTTATACTTGAACAATAAATAATCTCCTAATAAAAAAGGGAAATGCGTGTCAATGTTGCTTTTCTCGCGATGTTTGTTACTGAATGACTAACCTTATCAGGGAATTTACACATCCAAAACTAACACTAATAGCCCATAACTTTGTTGATTCCACTATACGTTCACTAAGTTCCGTATCGCCAGTTAAGAAACTTAGAACAGCACCAGGACCTCGAGACATTTTGAAGTGAAGATCGTGTTGCGGATGAGATTTTAAACCGGGGAAATTGACCTTGAAACCATGATACTCGAGAAACTCGGCAATTTGTTGTGCGTTTGCTTGCTGTTTGTCCATGCGAATAGCTAATGTCTTTACCCCCCGTAAAAGTAACCACGAATCAAATGGTGACAGTCCACAACCGGTAGCATTAATGGCGAAATATATTTTCTAAATTATTAATAAGGAAATTTTTAAAATCTTTATCTTTTGAAATTAGTACTGAAAGGAAATTTTATCAAGATATTTCAAAACATACCTCCGCAACCACATCATCATTCACTCCTATTACGCCGGCCATTAAATCATGATGCCCGCTAAGATACTTTGTTCCAGAGTGATATGTAATATCAGCGCCTAATTTTAACGGTTTCTGTAGATAAGGAGACATCATTGTATTGTCTACCACTATTAAAGCATTTGGGCAATGTTCATGTACAATTGATGCAATTGTGGGAATGTCATATATTTTAATTAAGGGATTTGTGGGTGTTTCTAATAATACAAGACGAGTTCGTGTCGGGTGAAGATACGAATAAAGAATCGTTGGATTCGTCATGTCAATGTGATGTGTCTTTATGTCATAATTTTTATGAAGATAAGACAATAGCCGATTGGTGCCTATTTAGGAATGATCGAAATTTGTGTAAATAAAATTTAGAATACGTGTAGAATAATATAATTAAAAATAAATTACATTATACCTCCATACAAATCATCTCCAGCAATAATCTCCTCCCCGGATCTTACTAATCGGGCAATCGCATCAAATGCACTCATACCGCTACTGACGGCAAAGGCACGTTTAGCCGACATAATTTTGGCGAGATGAATTTCTATAAAAGAATCACATCAAACTAATAAATTAACAAAAGATCCCATTATAGATTCATTATCATGATGAAAGATAATATTAGGCTAAAAGATCAAGATCAATTCACCTAATACCGAGCGAGTAGGATTTCCACTTCTCGTATAATCAAAATCTCCCATTTCAGTGGCAGAATTTTGCTTAAATGTTGCAGTTTGATAGATTGGCGTTGATGAGGCATTGTAGTTATCTTTGACACCGCTCTCTCCACTATCTAAATGTACAAGTTCAGTAGCAGTCCTATATCTAATAATGTCACAGCCAATTATTTGTGATGAGGTAGACACTGTCGATGGTGTGGATGGTCCCGAGTCCATTTTATCTATTAATATTTTCCCGTAATATTTTTTCCCGTAATATTTGAGATATAAAGTATGATATGTATGCTAGATTAAAAAAAAATAAAAATAAAAAATTCTACGAAAATCAAAAAAATGTCCAAGTTATGGTTACTATTAGTGAAAGAATGGAAAGAAAAAAAAGACGCCTCGCTCAAGGTCAACTTGGAAAGTGTAGATATTTTTTTTCCATCTTTTACAGTATATTTTAGATACACTCTTTTTTTTGGTAGATCTTACCTAGTCCAATCAAAATCCAGCGGGATGATGCGATATTTAGCTCATGATATGATAAATCAGGTGTAAATTGAGTCACAATGACCTTTCTGGTAATTAACCGACGTAAAAGAGACCAATGAAATGGTGCATTGGTGATATCACTCTTCCAATCAATTAAACCCTGTGCTTCTCTTTTGGGTATTGTTATTTATTTATTTATTTATTTATAAATTATTTATACAAAAGTAAATAACATTTAAAAATCGGTAACTCTAGCGCCATAACTCCAATCACCATGCTTTAACGGATCATGTTTTGGCCCGTTAATTTCACCAGTCACTGGATTTTTATCGCCCTCGAATTCTGCCGGCGGTTTTCGCCTTACATCTGGATGTGCGGTTTCTTCTTCCTCGGTGACTGCTTTATCAAAATTTGTCCACCTTGAACCGAGATTCTTGCGTACAAGTTCTTCGAACTCCTGTTGATCTTCTTTGTTTTCTAGTGGAGGAGGTGATGGTTGATTAAATGGGGATGACAATGTGGATTTTTGGCGTACCAAGAAGGTCGTTAGAGAGAATCTAGATGGCCGGGTAAAATGAGAGAATTTCGATCTTGCCAAGGACATTTTATCTAGGTAAATGCTCAAGAAGTTATCTCGTTTGCTTGATATACTTTTAATTTTTATACTTGTAAAGAAAAATATGACGAAATATTTGTATTCGTAACTCTATACGCCGAGAAAATGTCAGCATCATGTGATTTTTAAAAGGTAAACAAATCAAATCGTGTGTAATGGAAAAATTCCGTTTGTATCTTTTTCCTTGCGAAACTTTCATATATGTATGTTTAATATTTCATATTTTCGCCATCAAATCTTAATATTCATATTACGATTACATCAATTATATACAAAAAAAACAAATTTTGTAATCAGCTATAATATGACAATTAATATTATATATGCAATAATTAATAATTTATCAAGAAATATAAGATTCAAACAAGAAAACACCAATATTAGGCTTATTTGGTTCATCAAACTAATTTGCTGTTCTTTTTCTCTAATTGCATTAAAATATCT